AGTTGGTTAAGCGACTGCCTTCGGCTCAGGTCATGATCCTGGAGTCCCTGGATCGAGTCCCGCATCGGGCTCCCTGCTCGGCAGGGAGTCTGCTTCTCCCTCTGACCCTCCCCCCTCTCATGTGTTCTCTCTCATTCTCTCTCTCTCAAATAAATAAATAAAATCTTAAAAAAAAAAAAAAAAACTGCACATGAGTATTTACAGCACCATTACTCATAACAGCTAAAAGATAGAAACACAAATGTCTTATCAGTGGATGAATGGATAAACAAAATGTGATTTATCCAAAAAAATGGACTATTATTCATCCATAAAAAAGGTATACCCAATTCAATGGCACAGTGTTCATCCATAAAAAGGAATAAGGTACTGATATATGCTATAACACAGATGAACCTTGAAAGCATGCTAAGTGAAAAAAGCTAATACGAAAGACTACAGTGTATGTTTCTACTCATGTAAATGAAAGTCCAACATTGGGAAATCTAGAGAGACAGAAAGTAGACTACCAGTTGTTTAGTGCTGCGAGGGTGGGGCAGTGCGTGATAGCTAGATTCTGGGTTTTTTTCTTGAGGTGATAAAAAGATTGACTGTGGTAATGATTTGCACAACTCTGTGAATGTACTGAAAACCACCAAACTATACACTTTAAATGGATGACTCATATGGTATGTGACCTATAACTCAATAAAGCTATTCTTTTTTGTTTTTTTTAAAGATTTTATTTATTTATTTGACAGAGAGAGAGACAGCGAGAGAGGGAACACAAGCAGGGGGAGTGGGAGTGGGAGAGGGAGAAGCAGGCTTCCCGCTGAGCAGGGAGCCTGATGCAGGGCTCTATCCCAGGACCCAGGGATCATGACCTGAGCCGAAGGTAGATGCTTAACCACTGAGCCACTCAGACGCCCCTCAATAAAGCTATTCTTAAAAAGAAAAAAAAAAAGAACCTTAACAATTACTACAAATAGAACCAATGCTATCCACTGAACAATGCTTAATCACTTGGAAATTATTTAATACACAGTAACAGAAGCAAATCCAGAATGAAATGCTCTTCTTTGGCTCCTCATTTCAATGAATCAATGCCGTGACTGTGATGACTGCTAATTCCTGCTTCGAAAATTTTCCAGACCAAAATTATCTTAGTCATATGCAACACCATGGAACTTTGACCTCTAAATATTCATGTGCTAGAGCATCCATTGCCACACTACAGTAAAGTCTTATTTCCTACTTTCTATTCAGAATGAGTAGTCTTTTCAATTCTCATTAAAAAAAAAAAAAAAGACATTAGCTGATTTTAAGATTTATGAATTCGTTCATGCCCAAATCCAGGTAAGAAACCTTATACATACACCAGAGAGGAGGATCTGGAGTCCATTTATCACTCAAAACTCCCTAATACGTAGATGAAGACTACCAGAAAACTGGTATTCAGATCACTCTATTGTCCCTTTACAGAACTGTTTTTCACTAAGCTGTACACTTTGGCATCATGTCCTTTGCTTACACGGAGATTTACCAAGAAACAAGTTGAGTAAACTAGCAATATACTAATAATATTAATTTATTAATAATATTAAGCCTCTCATTATTTCATATTAAAAGTAATCAATCTCAAATTAAAAAAGGAAAAGTGTAGCGGGATTAGCAGTTCTTAAATTGAATTATAGAAATATATGTGGAACTTACATAAACAATTACATATTCACAGAATGCTCCCAAATTTTTACTTTTAACAATATGAATTAAAGGAATTAAATTTTCTTTAAAAAAAATATTTAAAATTCTACTTACTGTTAACAAAGAGGTAAGATGATCCTAGTTCTCAACCATTCAAATTGTAACAAAAACTTCAAGATGAAGCAACAGAAATATAAGCAAGATTAGTAACAGAGGCAGCCCAGCTTACAAATGGCTGAGAACCAAAAGATCTTCAGAAAATCAATTGTTCGGAACTTAGAATCTATATTTTCCCAAAGAAACAATGCTATCTGTGAATCTTAGATTCTTAAACTCAGGTACACTAATATACTAGTCATGTGACTGAGGGAAACAACTTCTCTTTTCAGATTTCAGATCCTTACCTATAAAATGATACAAGTATTATCCTATTTAAAATTAAAAGCAGGGGCGCCTGGGTGGCTCAGTCGTTAAGCATCTGCCTTCGGCTCAGGTCATGATCCCAGGGTCCCGGGACCGAGCCCCGCATCAGGCTCCCCGCTCCGTGGGAAGCCTGCTTCTCCCTCTCCCATTCCCCCTGCTTGTGTTCCCTCTCTCGCTGTGTATCTCTGTCAAATAAGTAAATAAAAATCTTAAAAAAAAAAAAAAGCTGTATTTAAAAAAATAAAATTAAAAAATTAAAAGCAAAAAATGTTCTACAAAATGTTAAGCAATATATAAATATAAGGTATTTCCCTATTATTTAATCCTTAACATAACAAATTGATCGATCATGCCTAGTCCTGACCTCCTTTCTGAAGCTTCAGCTTTACTAAGTGTCTAAGACAAGGGGAGTGTTATGTTGCAAGCAGTTCAGTGATTTTAAAATATTCCCTCTGACATTTAAAGGCCTCATTCATTTAATATACATTTTGTTAAGTAGTATTAAGAATATTATATAAAACTAAATACGTAATATGTAATATAAATATTCTGACATTATTACACTATACCTTAAATGTATCTATTTAAGCCAATATAAAGCCAGGAAATAATGATAACAGTAGCAATCACAATCATCATCATCATAAACAGAAACATCTGAACCCTTACTAAGTTCCAGACACAGTTGTTTTAAGTGCTTTAATGTATTCTTTCTTTCAATTAATCTTAATAACAACCACGTGAAAAGCTACTGTTACCACCATTTTACGTAAGAAACACAGATATAAAATAATTTTTGCAAGAACACAGAAGTCTCAGTTTCTAAATCAAAACTAAAGAGCAAAGCAGGCTAGGAGTAACTGATTTAAGATTGGAAATGTTCCTATAATCCATTAAAAAAAAATTGGATGCCATTTAAAGCAATTGAAAAACATTAAGAAAAACTCCAACCCTGATTTATCTTATTAAGAATCAATAAAAGACATAAGTGGATTTTTTATGCTTGCATTTGTTTAACCTCCACAATGAAAACTAAGACTTTTAAAGTAATCTAGGACGTTAAGAAAAAGAATAGTCTTGAAGATACTTATCTTTTCAAGTGAATGTCAATAAATTTTCTAAATACAGCTAAGACTTTTAGCAGCTAATATAATTAACTATAACAATTATAATAAAAACAAATGCAGCAGCTAACATTTATATAGTGTTTATCATGTGGCAGGCACTATTCTCATTCAGTGTAATAATTCATCTAACACTAACAACCTGATTGACTGATACGGAAAATAAGAAAGAAAGATGTAATAAAGAAACTTGCCCACGTTCACACACCTAGTAAGTAGTGGAACGGGACTCCAATCCAGGCAGTAGAGTCTGGTTTCAGAGTCTGTTCCTCACTAATAAGCTATATGAAAAATTAGAGAAAGATCTGTAGACAAATTTTTTATGAAGACAATATAGGGGAAAAAAATCAATCTGTGCTCTTATTAAGTCATAATCATTTAATCCAGAACTTTTCTATAGGATGCAGATATGTGATTCTGTACCTCTGGTAAGTGTTCTTTTGTCTAGCAACAGAATAAAAAAATACATTATCAATCAGCATTTAAAATGAGACTCAGTAAACAGTTCATAGAAAGTGAGGAAGTTGGGGCGCCTGGGTGGCTCAGTCGTTAAGCGTCTGCCTTCGGCTCAGGTCATGATCCCAGGGTCCTGGGATCGGGCCCCACATTGGGCTCCCCTGCTCAGCGGGAAGCCTGCTTCTCCCTCTCCCACTCCCCCTGCTTGTGTTCCTGCTCTCGCCATCTCTTTCTCTGTCAAATAAATAAAATCCTTAAAAAAAAAAAGCGAGGAAGTATATAATATATGCATTTTAGAGAATATTTTTACTTTATTCTTTCTCTGAATATTTTATAAAATGCTTATTACTGTGTAGAAATATTTTAAAATGACACTTTTTCATGTAATATATCACATGATATATACATTTATAAATACTTAAATGGAAATTTTCACTAAAAGATTCTCTTAGATTCAAGTTACCTAACATCAGAGCTGTGCACATGATTTAATTAGCTGTTCAGCCAATAATGCAATAACCTGAAATTTGAAAGATGAACAATATGAATTGCATTAAACCTAGAAATCATGCCTTCTGAGATTTATATTGTTTTTTTACTAAAACTACTATGTTTATAACACTAATAAGCCATTTCAAAACCATAAGTGCTATCAATCCAAAGGAAAATTAAGTACGTAAGAGTAGCTTATGTAGATCATGAATCTGCAAACTCATTATACTAAGCATGAAAATAAAGTCCCAAAATTTGTCCAAAAGATTGTTAGTAATACATCTTCACAAAAGACAGTCTGCCAATTTAATAATCACCCATCACTAAAAGCAAAATATTTAGAAGCCATATTAAAGAAAAACTTAACAATCATTACTCTACCACTGCTTTGTGTACATGCAGAGAAAAGTGAGATGAATCAGTATAATGTTAAGAAAGGATGCAGTTTTTGATCCTTTCACCAAGTCATCCGCACTAATTTAGTCAAATTTATACTTAAGTTGATACTTGCGTTTTTTAAGTAAATAAATAAGTAAATAGGTTTCCAAGTCTTTGAAATACAGTATAATGATTTTACATAAGACCACAAAGCCTTCCTCATAATTTTGAAGTCCACAAAGATTGAAAACATTGAGTTTTTGCTACTTGGTGTGAATAATCAATCATTTTCCTGCAGATATTATTAGTGTGTTTTATTACAGGATGCCTCAGATCCATCTGAGCTTATTAACTACACTCACTACTTTTCTAAAATCTAAAAACCATGTGGGCCCAAGGATTTTGAAAGAAACTGTGTACATACATTCCAAATTAGGATGTTACCTGATATTCAGAATCCAGTCTAAATGAAGACTCTCTTGAGTGATAGGTATCATTTAAACTATTTCCTCTGCTTCCAGACATCATCCTAGTACTTAAAGAGCTGGGGGGTTGAACAGAAATTCTTCTTGGAATCCTTGAAGGTTTAGACTCCATTCTTGAGGTTTCCTGTGAAATGCAAATGTTGATTAATTGCCTTTGGGAAAACATGCAAACCTTCAATTCTTAATCCTCCTTAATCATCAGCTCAAATCAAGAATTAACCATGCAAATTAACTATATCTGACATTGTGAATTATGAGACTATCAACACCCCTCTTCTCTAAGGCAGAAGTCTAAAGTCCATCAAAGGCTTCCTACTGCCCATAGAATGAAGCAAACTGATAAAAGAGGGATGAGGAACTGAGGTTGTTTCCAAAGCCTGGGCTTTTTTCCTTACTCAATTTTGTCTCTATGGAATCCAACACAAATTTGTTCTTGGCTGTCTTGCTATTCTTATCTATTAGTAGTGTTTAATACTCAAACCATGAGCATTAGCTATACTGTACTATTTGCACCCCCCTTATCACAATATTCCCTCACAGGACTTTGTACGTACCTGGAAACTCTATACATTCCCCATTCATTTCCTTGTCATGGTATGAAATCAACCATTTTTCTTTGTGTGCTTCTACTCTGTATATACTTTTAAGACACACTACCTTATGCTATAATTTGTTTTCCTATCTCCCTTTCTCAAAAGTGAGAATAATTTCTAACTTTTCTTTACTAAACATTCCTCAACCTACACCAAAAGTCACAATAGCTATGTGTGATCTTTTAATTATACAGGTATCTCCCCACTTTTCAAAAGTCCACATTATGCCACATCACTTTTATGAAAGACCTATATATAGTCCCTGCTTTCGCTAACCAAAAGAAATCCAAAGACAATTTTTTGGTCTTATAAAAAGGCAACGAAAAGTGAAAAAACAGCATTCAGCATTTGTTTTGCAGCATTATAGAGGCAGTGTGTACCCTGAGTAGCAAGTGACAACACCAACCTCCTTCCCCGGGAGCTACACTTGTCATCTCAGCATCAAGCTACCATAACTTTAAACTCTGTCTACAAGCTTCTGTGCTTTATCTCGATGTATACTGTGTATCCATTAGCAAGATGTGGTGTACGATAACAGAAAAGTCTGAGAGAGGTTATTTTTTGGGTCTGGGAACACTCAAAAGCTTTCCCATATAACCTAATGGTAATTGCTTCTTCACTTTTCACCATTCCAACTTACAAAAGGATTCACAGAAATGCTCTACTTTTGGACAGAGGTGGACACCTGTGTGTATATGAATGGAATGATACAATATGTATTCTTTTATGTCTGGTTTTATTTGCTCAACACTGTATTTGTGAGATTCATTTATATTGTAGCATGCAGCTGTAGTTAGTTCACTCTAATTAGTTTATATAGTATTTCATTGTATCAATACACATAAATTTGTCCATTGTATTGCAGATGGACACTGAACTGTTTCCAATTTTAGGCTATTACAAATTGTGCTGCTATAAAGACATTACTTTTATAAATCAAAAAAACTTTAAATCACAATAATCTCTTCAACTCCTCCCTACCCACTTTCAAGGTGAAAACTTCCCTTCTTGTTCTGGTAGTGGATTGACATTAAACCAATTACAAACAGATGCACTTCACTTATCTGATATGCCACTTGGGTAAGGTATATTTGCTTTATTAAAACATTCAAATTTAGGGGCATCTGGGTGGCTCAGTCATTTAGGCGTCTGACTTGATTTCAGCTCAGGTCATGATCTCAGGATTGTGAGATGGAGCCCTGCTTCAGGCCCTGCACTGGGCATGGAGCCTACTTGAGATTTCCTATCTCTCTCCCTCTCCCTCTGTCCCCTCCCACCCCCCCCTCCACCCCTGCCCCCCCAAAAAGGAAAAGGAAAAGATAAAAAAAAAAAAATTCAAATTTAAACATTTAAGGTGAAAATACCTAATCTATTTTTGGCACGTAACCTCATTAACTTGCCAACTTCGGATCAATCACCACTTTCTACCTTAAGTTACTACAAAAGAATTTCCTTTGTTGATAATATTAACTTTAAAAACATGGTATCAGGCAATAACAGAAAAGAGAATGAAGAGAGGAAAAAACACCAAAACATATGGTCTATATTGCAGCAGAGGATATACAACAAACATGAAAAAGATGTAACACAAACTCATTCTCAATTAAAATTATTCCACTAAAAATATCCAACTAATGACAAACCACAGTAAAAGTCACAGAGATATGATTAAATAAAAGAAAGCTTATCAAAAAAGGTTGGTTTTGAACTTCCAGTTAAAACATGACAGATTATCCTTATGCATCTATTTTGCCCCTCTTTCCAAAACCCTGATAAGACGACAAATGAGGGGCGCCTGGGTGGCTCAGTCCTTAAGCGTCTGCCTTCGGCTCACCCTGCAACAGCTCCCTGCTACATGGGAAGCCTGCTTCTCCCTCTCCCGCTCCCCCTGCTTGTGTTCCCTCTCTCGCTGAGTATCTCTGTCAGATAAATAAATAAAATCTTTTAAAAAAAAAAAGACAACAGTAAATGAATCCAAAGGGGCCACAGAAGGCAACAGATTTCAATGTGTATTTGGAAAATCCAAAGGAGTAAAGGCACAATAATTAAGCAGAGAAGATAAAACTACACCCTAGGCCCTTAGAAAGAGGTAGAAACTAGAAGCTTTAGCACATGAAAAAGAACCATGACCTGAAGGTACAAGATACCATAAAAGAGAAGATGCGTGGCTTAAAATCAAATCTGTAGTTGAAGCAGTAAAACCCCAAATTCTTCCCCTAGCTTCATTCTTAGAAAGTATTTATTCTCTCAACAATAAGGATTTCAGAGGCAATCCATCCCACCCAAGTATACAATCAAATCTGCAGGGTTAAGTGTAAAAAATAAAATCTATATGCTCAATGCTGAGACCTGAGAACTTTTCCCAGTCCTATTTCTACAATGTTGCCATAAAATTAAGGGATTTTACTCTTGGATCACCAAACAAAACACCAGAGATAAGATTTCTGATACTGACATTTGGACTGCTCCCAATTACCAAGCTAGTCTGCTGAACATCCTACCCCACAGCAAAGTCCACTAGTCATCAAGTTTTCTAATCAGTTTTTTTAGTGTTTCCTTCAAACAGATAAACATTAAGGATTACTAAGTATCCAATGAAACCCTCTGATATGAAAGACCAGGATAACCACCCCCAAAAAAGGAACTTAAAAGAAAAATTGGGGAAAATAGCTAACTACTACTCTCAAAGAGATCAAAAGACATCCATTCATAAACAGGGAAACTGGAGTATAATAAAGAATTTGTGGACATTCAAAATGGGATACACTTTTTAAAAACTGTGATACAATGAAATGAATAATTCAACATAATTACTGGGAATAAATTGAGGAAACCTCTCAGAAATAGAAACTACAACTTTAAAATAGAATTAACCAAGGGAATTATCATCTTACTTTAGCTATGATTAATAAAGAGAGAAGAAAGAAAATGGAAAGAAAACTACCAAAGAAATAAAAGAACCTTTCTAGAACTGAAGGATACAAATCTCCACATTGAAAGGGCTTTAGAGTACCCAGCAGGATCAAAGAAAAAAAGACCAACACTAAGCACAATTTATCATACTGAAATTTTAGAACACCAAAAATGAAGAGAAGATCCTGTACTGGCTTCTTAATTACAACTTTAAAAAATCTTAAGACAATGAAGCAGTGCCTGTAGTACTGAGAAAAATGCTTACCCTTGAATTCCAATCTAGCAATTAAATGTGAGGTGGAGAATAGGGACCCGTTTTCAGACATGCAAGATCTTTTAAAAACTTCAAAAAACAAGACAAATATCAAAGGAAGATAAATGAAGAGTATGTCCAATGAAAATGAGAGTGTAAAGAATGAAAGAAACAGACATGGAACCCAGGAAACTGTTAAAAAAGGAAAGTTTAGACACAGAACCCAAGAAATAGTTCCAAAGGTATGTAGGAAGCATAGGATCCAGACCAGAGCAGGATTGCAGATAATGGAAGCAAAGTTCAGAGGGGAGGAGGTGGGGCATATGGAAACTATTTATTTTGGCATATATGGCACAGACCATGATACAACTGGGTAAGAAAAATTGCTAAGTACAAAGAACAAACGGCAATTAAATTTCCTCCATTATCAGTTATTGTTCAAGAAAGGGGGTGTTTCGGGGTGCCTGGGTGGCTCAGTCCTTAAGCCTCTGCTTTCAGCTCAGGTCATGATCCCAGGGTCCTGGGATCGAGCCCCGCATAGGGCTCCCTGCTCAGCGGGAGCCTGCTTTGCTTCTCCCTCTCCCACTCCCCCTACTTGTGTTCCCTCTCTCGCTGTGTATCTGTCAAATAAATAAATAAAATCTTAAAAAAAAAAAAAGGGAGGAGTGTTTGGGTGAAACTTGGGTGAATATTAATTATTTATAATAATGTAAACATAAGGTATTGAATCAACAATTTTGCTACAAACATGTATGGGATGGAGGTGACTGGGGAAGTGAAGACAAGGGTGAATAAGGAAAATACATAGGAAAAATCACTAAACAGTATAAACATTCTTCAGGAATGTGAAGGTAGGGGCGCCTGGGTGGCTCAGTCGTTAAGCATCTGCCTTCGGCTCAGGTCATGATCCCAGGGTCCTGGGATCGAGCCCCGTATCATGCTCCCTGCTCAGCGGGAAGCCTGCTTCTCCCTCTCCCACTCCC